TATTGATCTGGGGTGAGATCTGTATGATCTATATGATCTTGTCCATTAGGGGACCCTTGCCCCTCCTTATATATTCCGAAGGAACAAGGTTACAAGTAAAGTATCCAATTTGGTACAATTACAATATAATGTCGTGCTCCGCATGTCTTCACCTTGCGGGCTGGGCCACTTCTGGTGGTGCGCCCATGTATACCCATGAGGGTATAGGGGGTCTATTCCCCCACATGGTCTGAACCCTAATCAAAGATTGTGTTGTTGCTAGTGGGAATTGGACCTCCCAATCAGCTGACACAAACACCCTGTCCAACACCGCCATGATAGGAGATTCCTGCTTATTGGTCCATGTAAAACAACCTCCATGTCTATGCATTTATCTCAAACTAGAGTCACTCACAAACTAATCATGTTGTATACTAGCAAACGTTGTTAGTCCAAATGATCATTTTGTTCATTGAGCACCAAAATCCAACTTAATGGCCCATAGGGTCTATTTTCCTTACAAAAGGCTCACAATTGATTATGTCAAGCATTTGACTTGATTATTTTGCATGTCTTTTGGAGACCAAAACTTGTATGGATGAACAACTGATGTAATGCCTCTGTGAGTGGTTGTTATGTCTATGGATAATGTTATGTGTTATGTCTATGAACAAATCTACTAGGGGCCTATGCAAGAGTTGCAGTTAGGGGTGTAAACCATAACTTCAAACAAAGATATCTAATAAAAATAGAGAACAACAAAGATCCCACACCATCTACATTTCTAGGGCATTTGAAGAAGATACACCTATAGTTTTCTTCTCTATCTTCGCCCTGGGCTCAATTATCCTCCCCCTCTAGCAATGCATGCACCAAATAAGGGGGAGGTCAATCTCTGCCCTAGTTCAAATTCCCACCTCATTCACCACTTGATGCACTGTTCCTTGAAGAGGAGGACTCCATCCTCCAAGACATAGTGTAGGAATGAGGAAAACTTGTCATCGCCGCCAGGAAAGAGAATGGGCGGAGAAGGGGAGCGGTTGTGGGAGGGGAGCATTTGAACCAAGAGGGAGGGGTTGGGAACAAAAGAAAGAGGCAAGGGCAAACAGGACATCTTGTGTGGCCACTACTAGTTTCTAGGGGCTTGTCCATGCTATTTGTCCTATGTGGCATGCCATCTCAGTAAAAATGGCAAATATGTAACACTTTCATTGTTCCTAGTGGCAAATGTGTAGGTTCCTGCCTAAAACTGGCAAATGGAGAGGTGTCATTCGTTAGGATGAGAATAAGTTAATATCCAGCCTGGTTGTGGGTATTGGTGGTGTTGTGGCAAAGATCAGGAGAAGCAGAGATGCAAAGTTGCAGCCTTGTGTCATGTCAAATGCAAGGTGCGAGGATGACGAGAATAGTGTGAGGATGGAGAATATTTTTGGATCGTGTGAGGATGGAGATTTTTTTGGATCACCTTTCTAGTTAGTCTGCAAGCAATATCAAATTATAAACTCTCTTAGGGGAACACACACCCATACGTAAATCAAGTTTTTTGCAAGCTCACCAGCCTTGTTGTTGGATATCCTTTCATGTACACACTCCATTGAAGAATAGAGATTTTTTTATGAATAAATGATCTCCAATAATTTTTTAATTAGATCTTTAAAAGTTGCCATCATTTATTTTGAGAAGGCTGGCCTAGAGACATGACTTCTCTGCATGACATCACCTCCCAAGCATGTGCGGCGTTAGGGGTATGCCCCTATATTCCAAGGAATACCCATGATTTTTGTGACAAACACCAATATACGTAACCATGTGTAATGATACAATATGTTTGTTTGTTGAATGTTTCAAATATGTAGCCCAAAAGCCCAGTAGAACAACTAGTAGCAGCAGCCCACAAACTCAGAAAGACAGAAACCCATCGATTGTATTCCTGTCCCTGTCTCTTACTCCTGTCCGTCGCTCGCATCGACCGGTGGGTGGCAACTGCACCGGAGGACGGCGGCACAACGACATGGCAGGTCAGCTCTCCCCCTCGGCCCTTCAGCACGCCCGATCGCCCCTCAGCCCTCCGGCAGTCAGGCCTCGACAACCAACGCGGCAGCGCCTTGCGCCCGACACTCCTCTGGCGGCGGCGGCGGTCAGGGGTCTTTGCAGGCTCCCCGTCGGCTCAGGCGTCCGGCTCTCCCCCTTGGCACCTTTCTCATCTCCGGCTTGATGCAATAGCATGGCGAACACAAAAGACCCCATATCCATTCTTGATTCTTCAGAGTAAGAATTGAAGGTTTCGTTTTCTATTTTTTATTGCATTGTGTTTTTTTAAAGAAATGTTGCATTGGTTCTTATAACGTTGATTATTACCAGGGGCGACACCAGGTTCACTTTGCCTGGTGCCTTGTTACCAGGGTAAAAATATATTGGAAAAATTGGTTTCATAGCATTAAAAGATCACGAGATTCAGAAAATATCACTGAAAGAACTCCGTTACGAAAAATACCACTAAAAGATAGAACCGTTATCCGAAACTAGCGTTTCGTCCGGTTTGAAGGTAACAGTGTCAGCACCGTCGATTCCCGTCCATCTAATAAAGGCAAAAAAAATCCAACTCCCAGCTACTCGAGCCGAACATGGAAGATGCAGGGCTGCACCGGTAGCAGCTGGCGCGCGTGGGACAGCGGTGTCCGCATCGAGGAGGGCATCTCGGCAGCTCGAGCAGTGCATTGTGGCGGCGCTTCATGCTTGTGGCCGGCTGGCGGCGTCTCACTTGCGGGCGCGCCGTGGCTCGAGTAGCGTCACAGCTCACGTTGGAGGTGAGGAAGACAAAAGGGATGGGATTTCCACTGGTGCTCACGTTGGAAGAAGGGAGGAGCAACGGTGGATTCACGTCGTTAGCTCAAATCGTCACAGAATGGTAGTTTCAGGTAACAGATTGTTTTTTCAGTTGTATTTCACGTGGCCATGATATTTGAGTGGTATTTTCCGAATCTCATATCTTTGGATGCTATGAAACCAATTTTCCCAAATATATTTTACCTAACATATATTCTAAAAATTATATATACCACTTAAGCAGTACACCAGGATCAATTTTGTATTGGTTTTGCCCCTTATTGCTATTGCATATATACATTGGGAATTTTTCATGCGTGGAATACCCAGCCGTGAAATCCTGGCTCCGCCACTGCTCCCAAGTCTCTAGGTCAATGATCCCTTTCATCAAAACCACTAATGGTCTGAAAACATGACTACTTCATTCCTTGCTACTGCAGCATTTGTTACTGTATCCAAAAACTCGTTGATAGTTCCATCCACGCTAATGTTCTAGTGGGAGCATTCGTCAGTCCGAACGCTCCTTGCCGGACCTGCGAACCGGTCCAATAGGCTTGCTTCCTTCCACCTTCAGTCCTTCATGGTGTCTCCAAAAAAAAGAGTGATATTTTTCCCATCTCACATGGCAGTCGCAGCGTTCCCCACCGCCGCACGCATCCTACCGCTGCGGGCACCTCCAATGTGTCGCCCACCCACCGCTCGCCATGGGCACCACATCTACCACAGCAGCGGCGCCGCACCCAGCCCCATCCCACACTGCTCCATGCCCCGCGCCACGCCATCATCTTGCACCGCGTCCCCATCCACCTCACCCGTTGTGGCCACGGCGCGCACCAGGAGTAGGTCACCGCCGGTCTGGACATTATCTCTCGTGGCAGGCCAAAGACACCGTGGCAGGAAGGGGAGGCCTGCACCTTCGCCTGGGTTTACTTTGGGTTGTTGCTCTCGACGTCCCTCTGACCCGAGCTTGTTGGCTACCATAGTTCCCAACCAGGTAGGCCATGGCCACCGGCGACACTGTGTTTCAAGTGTTATAGGCGTTTCAGACTTATGTTTCTAGTGTTTCATCTTGATGTTGTAAAAGTAGATCTGAGATGTTGCATATGTTGCAATGACAATATACGCATGTTGCAACTTGCAAGCCTATGTTTCAAGTGTTTCAGGTGTTTCAGACATATGTTTCAAGTGTTTCATTTGAATTTTACATATGTTGCTATGGCTATACACTCATGTTTCAGGCTTATGTTTCAAGTGTTTCAGCTGTTTCAAACTTATGTTGCAAGTGTTTCATCTTGATGTTGTAAAAGTATATCTGGATGTTGCATATGTTGCTATGGCTATACACGCATGTTTTAAATGTTTTCATATGTTTTAGATGTATGTTGCAAATGTTTTATCTAGATGTTTTAAAAGTAGATCTGGTATTATACATGTTGCAATGGCGGTAGTGGCTGGCAGTCAGCAGCCTACCGCAGTTGTCTGCTGCTGCTGGGGCGCCGCCGTGGGTCACCGTGACAACGTGCGAGCGCCTGAGGCCGGCAGACGTCTCCGCAGCGCACATCCGTAGGCGAGAGCAGGTGATTTGGGACCCCCGTGGGTTTCCCCGTGCGGGCGCGAGACGGGTGCGGGTGTTGCGTCCGAACACAGACGTGGGCACTAGCGCTAGATGTAGGGCCGTCCCATGGAAATCCAAGGCCTTGTTCGAAACTAAAAAAAATGAGGGGCCTACTATCCTAGAAAAAAATAGGTCTAAAATAAGACGTATGGTATAATATATTACATTGCAATAAGCTATATCAAGAATGGTACCTATATTGCATATTCTTTACTTGAATAGCATTATTCTTTTAGTGTTCTTTGAAATAAAATCTTCAATTATATACTCATAATCAATCTTCTCCAACATTTCGCTCTCAAGTGCTATTATAGCTAAATCATTAAGTCTATCTGGTGTCATCGTAGAACGCAAATAAGACTTCAATCACTTCAATTTAGAAAAGCTTCGCTCCGCTGATAGGAGACGTCGAGACGAACAGGTTTGGGAACTGGGATCACAGGAGTCGGGGACAGGAGACAAAACGACGTCCGTGCGGCCGGCCGGAAAATTATTTTCTATTAGGCTAATAGGCTTGCTAATGGACGATGCTATTGGGCCAAAGAAATAATCAAACAAATACATGTTGTGCTTAGCTTATATGGGTAATGGTACTATATTATACTTGGAGGACTTTGAGAATCGGAGGCCCTGCGCTGTTGCCCAGGCTGCACGCCCCAAGGACGGCCCTGCTAGATGGGATGCGGACGTAGGGCGTGTGGATGGGACGCGGGCGAAGGAGCTGCGTTTGGACGCGACTCCGGGCGCTAATCCTTCCGTAAATTTTGCTACCCTGGTGCAACTGGGTTAAGCGTCGATGTGTGTGGACTTGGGCCGATTGAGCTGTTGGCCTCCTAGCTGATGCACCTCGCCTCGTTAAGGAAAGAGAAGTAGTCTAAAAAAATAAAGAAAGAGAAATCTCTCTCATGAAAAAATTAAGGAAAGAGAAATTGGCTTTGCCATTTACTGAATCACGGAGACGGTACAATTTCCTTTTCATGGAATTTTGCAGCACTTTTCTCATTTTGTGATCAAAAGTTTCATTTAAGATCGTGGTTTGTTTTGCGTAAGGAAATGTCATCGATCTTTCGTATCATGAAAAAAAATCATTGATCGACAAAGGGAAATGAAAGAGGAAAAAGAGAAGACGCGACACGAAGCAGAGGAAGGAAAGAAAAAGTAAACCAAGACCTGTCTAGCGTGTAGAACCGCCGCCTCGCCTCGCCGTCCGAGACAAAGGGAAGAGGGGGGAAAAATGCTCGCCAGAACCCTCGTCGGCGGCGTCCGGGCCCGCCTCGCGCCGTCCCTCGCGAGCCTCCGCCGCCTCCGCCGCGGCCGCCGACGACCTTGTCATTGACGAGGACCCGCCACGCGCCGCCTCGACGTCCGCCGTCGCCACCGCCACCACCGTGGCGGCTACCGTGCCGACCGTCCTGCAGCCGCGCGTGCTCATCTACGACGGCGTCTGCCACCTCTGCCACCGCGGTGAGTGGGACAGCGAGACCCTGCTCTGCTGGGGTTTTCTCGGGGGGATCGTTTCGCTGGCTTTCCCAATTGGGCAAACGATTGATGGGCACTCGGTTGTTGGGTCTGGGAAGTTCCCGTGATCGAGAAATTGACCTCGCCTTTGCAATGCAGGGGTGAAGTGGGTGATCAGGGCGGACAAGCACGCCAAGATCAGGTTCTGCTGCGTGCAGTCCAAGGCCGCCGAGCCATACCTCAGGCTGGTGGGCACGGACAGGGAGGATGTGCTGCGGCGTGTTCTCTTTGTCGAGGGCCCCGAGGCCTACTACGAGGGCTCTACGGGTTAGTTACTACAGTACACTTCTGATAGGATCAAAAAGTTATTGGTCACTTGTCTGCTATGAACAGACTAACGTTGTGAAGCTGGGGTGGTGTGCAATGCATGATAGTAAGAATGCTTGTAGTAAGTTAGCAACTACTTGAGCTATTTGGATTACACTTCTATTTTACTTGAGTTTCATGAGACACATCTTGAGGGATATTTCAGTTCTTGAGTTGTGTCCATAGGATGCTGTGCCAATGTGACATCTGTCATGATTTACGAATTGTGGGTGGATCACCTTTCGCTTCTTGTTGATGCTTATGATTTGGGTCAGCTGCAGGATTCATCGTTAACAAGCATTGTGAAGGATAGTGATGTAGCAAGCCTTATGATGTTCAGTGGACTAATTTGATTTTCAGTTTGTTCTGCCTCGTGTTGTCCATTCTACTATTTCTCTCATCATGCATTCTTTACCAATGAATAAATGATGTTGCAATTGTAGCTGTTATTGCCCTCCTGTATTGAATCTGTGCAAAATTTTAGGAGGTGTGCTTCATTTTTTAATGTAGTTTCATTGCCCCTTGATGATTCAGTAGTCCAAAGTATTGAGCTCCATGTGAATGACAAACCAAACTTTGATGCCGTGACACTGTGATAATAGTGACTTTAAACTATTAGAGGGTTTGTTTGTAGGATACCCATTTAAGCAGAAAAAAGGGAGAAGACAGCAATCTTTCCTGTCGTGTGTACTTTTTAACTGTCATGTTTCACCGCAACTGTTTCTCTCTTAGTGATATTTAATTTATCTCTAATGATATTGCTAACATCTTCATGTTTCGGTTTCAGCTGCACTGAAAGTTGCATGGTACCTGCCTCTCCCCTACTCAGTCCTGAGTTCCTTGCTGATCGTCCCCACCCCACTGCGGGATGCAGTCTATGATTACATTGCAAAGAACCGCTATGACTGGTTTGACAAAGATGATGAGTGCATTGTCACTAAGGACAAGGAGATTCTGGAGCGCTTCATTGACCGGGAGGAAATGCTTGGTGGTGGTCCCAGCAATAGCTTCTTTTGATTGTATTTTTGGCTGTGCCGTTGCTCACACTTACTGTAGGGAAGCGCTGTAAATAATCTTCGCGTCCATCTAGGTACTATGTGGATAGTATTCGCAACTCCTAGAACTTCTGCTTCCACATTAACGACAATGCATCGATCACCTGCAAGGTATGTCAGATCAGGTTTATTCCAGGTTGATTGCAAAACTTGAGCTAATTGATGTTTGATTCTCTACCCAGCCTTGCCAGCGCTCCTTTCCAAATTTTGCAAGCATTTGGTTTGTGTTCCAAACTTTGGTAAAAAATTCCTTCTATTGCCAATACTTGTTTATTTCTGCAATGTTCGGCCAGGTCATGGGTGGCCAAAACGGTGACCAAACTTTGGTAAGATTCGGTAGGGTAATTTGCCCCTAAATCTCTATGGCTTGATGATTGCTTGAACGTTGTACATAACTGCATGATTATTATATGAATGATAAATAGGTCATCAGATAAAGTTTAGGACGACTTATAGTTTGTTTAGTTGAGATGCTTCAAAACGCTAGAAGCTAATGATTTAAAATGCCTCACATAGTTGTGCATGAGCTCAGCTGCTAGCCCAACAAATCATTGTACTGACTAAGAAGACAAAAAGGTTTTACTGACAGAATGCTTCTTTGCATGCTTTCAACGAAGGTTGGGAGAAGCATAGAAAGCGAAGCTGAGCAAATACTGCCTGCTAGTCACAGCACAAAAAGGGCAAGGAAGGTATATGAACGACAATCAGTACAAAGGCTTTTAGTTCCCAGTAAGTCGAGGTAGGTTTAGAGATACAGTTAAGTTATACAGCTGTACAGAATACATTCTCTACATGAACGTTCAAAAACAACTAAAGGTTGCGCTCATGGGGTTCCAGCCAAGGGAATCCAAGTGTCTCGAACACATCCTTCTCGGTGTCACAGTTAACTATGTGTCCGATCTGCCAGCCTGTAAAAAATTATAACAAATCAAATGAAACTGGACAAAAGGGATTCCCATTCGTGATGATATGAATATACGTACATGCTTTCCACCACTGCCGCGTGTAGCTAGATATAATCCAGTATCGTCAAGTACATATCCTTTAGAATCTGCTAGTAGCCTTAATCTGCATGGTTTGTTGAGTTTAGATCCAAGGGACGAGGTAGTTTTCGTTCGGTGATTGTCAGAATAAGAAAAGGGTAGCTTTTGAGTTGTACCGCCCATTTAGTACATCATTTCCTGTCCATGCAAGCAGACCACATGCATATCTGTTCCTCGGGTATACCTGTCGATACACAATGACAGTCAGTTTTATAATACAGAAACTGGTATAGTGTCCAGGCTTGTGAATTAATCATTCAGTGCCAGCAGGAATAGCAAAACAGGGTTTGTTGTTACAACAGTAACTAGAAAAGATCATAAAAACTCGACCTGTAGGGGGTAAGCCACCCCCGGGCATTGCTGTAAGAGAGAAGACATTCTCACACAGGCCGAGAAAACCCCCGAACCCCTGAACCCCTGCCCCACCTTGACACAGGAGCACTGTTGCCCTATGAGTACCGGGCCGGGCCTTTTGACCTGTGCTTTGGCCGTGGGACAGACGAGGGGTTTTTACCCCGGCCTAAAATTCGCTCCCACGGGGAGTCAAACTCAGGACCTAAGGAGTGCCGCCGAGGCCACCTAACCAGTTCAGCTAGGCAACTAGAAAAGATCATGAAAAGTCACTTAATGTAATTACTACATATAGTATGAGGACCACAATACTGTTACTACTTTTCAAAAGCAACCTAACTGACGATGTACATTGGAAACTTCCATGTACCTTTAAGTCGATACGGTGCCGCAGCTCACGCCCAGGGTATGTGCAAAGACCAAAGTATGTGTCGACCCCACTATCAGATCCCTGCATTGAATTTCAACCATTTCAGAACTCATAAAAAACTTGATTATCGGGATTTAGAGTTTTAAGTTAATTTATCAATTTAACACATCGGCTAAGCAGTTCTTGCTATCAAAGGAACTGCTAGAGAACTACAGAAGTCACAGCTCACCAGGTGGTGGTGTTTAACAACTTACATCAACACTGTGTATGCTAAAGACAAGATCCTCCCTCAAAAAGTTAATTTCCTTCAACCGTTGAACAAACTTGGGTAAAAATCCTACATGGCTGAAGGAAAATTGTGACAGTTTATGCAAACATTTATTTACGTACCAACAAAGTTTCAAAATATTTTAGGTTTACCTTTCTCCATCAGGATGAGTTATAATAATATCCATGTCACCACAAGATGCTTTACCACGTCTATATGATCCTCCACAAACAATTATTACCTACAAACAAAAAAGAATGTACGCAAAAAGTTCAATAGTAACTAGAAATTGTACTTCAACACTATGCAAAAATCAGAAGCATAGAGAACTATACTGAATCGATGTGAAAGCATTTCAATTCAACTGGTAAAGAAACACCTAGAATGTTTGCAATGGATATAGCGTCAACATATGCTTCAATATTGGCATTTAAACAGCTTTTGTGTGCTGGAGAATACAGTAGTTCCCCTAAATGGTCTATGTAACTCACCCCAGGCAAGATATCAGTCCCAACATCTTTTAAAAGCTTCTCCATCTCGCTAACCTAGATATTATAAAGCAATATGTATCATATGCAAGATCCATGTAAGCTAGTAACGAATACACACATAATCATACAAACTACATACTTCATGTCGGGGTATTCTTTGCTTGATATCATCAAAAAACTTCAATCCAATCCTCTGCGCATTTGTAAGTGATTCATCTTTGCGTAGATCATCAAGAGTACGGTGTCCCTTTTCGTATAACTTGAGCGCAGTTGCAGGACCAACTCCCCAAACTTCACCAAATAAACTGATGGTCCTTACCTTCAAAGTGAATTATGTTGATATTGACAAAGGTAGCCGAACATGTCCAAATCATGTTGTGCATTACCTTTTCATCATTCTCAAAGTGTTCCAGCTTGGAGAGTTTTCCAGCAGTGACTATTTCATTTATCTGCACACAGAGATTGCTGGATTTAGTTGAGGTCATGGGCACAACAAGTCTAATTATAAATGTAAGACTCCTACTGTTTCTGGGAATTGTACTTGTACTAGTTGGCATAGTAATGAAAACAATGTAATGCATCCAGTGGTACTTTGCTACTATTTTGAACAATATAAAAGGCAAAGGTCTTTGTCAGAACACAAAGATCGCACATGCCTTTTATTAGAACCAGAGTTCGCAATATGATTGCTAAGTGATTCACAAGATACTGAAAAAAACATGACTACTGACTACTGAGGTATGTTTCTTTCACATTATTGAGCCCAAAACATACTTGTTGGCTTGTTCATTTAGAGAAATCAATGTTTACAAGTCGTCTAGTCGAACCTAGTCGCCATGGGACCGACTAGGACGATTAATCACGATTAAGCGCGATTAATCGGGCGACTTGTACAAGTCGACAGTACCCCTAATCGGTCACCAGGGACCGATTAGGACGATTAATCGGACGACTTGTAATCATTGGTAGAAATAGTGGTAAACAGCGAGAACGATTTTAGGAAGCAATATTAACAGTAATCAATGGTAGAATTAGACATACATACATGGTCTTTCAAAGATTTCCCAATAGTAGGGAGACCTTTGACTTGGTCAGCACTTTCGATTTTGAATGGCAATTTCTCAATCACCGGTATGGCCTTGTAATAGCTAAATGATCTTCTGTCATCTCCCAGGGCTTCAGGAGGAAATATGATATGTTAAAGGAATCAATTAATGTACGAGAGAGTTTAGTGCACTTACCCCTATAGATATCGATAAGCCTTCCGAAAATTTTGGTGATGTTCCTGTTCAAGTCTGCTGGAGCATATATGCTGGGTCCTCCAGAAGAGGCTTCCTGGTCATACAATTCATGAATTAGCACTTGAATATAAACATCCACCTGAGCCATAAATAGAGAATACAGATGAGGTTATGACACAGCTTTCTTCCAATAGTACAGTTAAGCCCTCTTGCAAGAACATACTACTTGCGAAAAGGATATCTGAGAAATGCAATAGTAGCCCTTAAGATATCATATTGAAGTTTGTGAAAGTGAGGTCCAAATTCATTAACAATGAACATCTGTGTGCTTTTATTCACATTATCTGGTATGGACACAAGAAATGTGAAGAAGGATGGCACGAGAAAACAATATACTTCAGAATAAAAGATGGAACACTAGTTTTTCAGATCACGCTTATATACCTCTATGTCAAATGTACCATGAGAACCTATGGTATCCTTGGAATCTGCTGAGCTACTTTGGCTACTTGCATACTGGTTAGGCTGCTTTCCGGCACTTGATCCTTCAACCACATGTGCACTTGCATCAGGAGACCCTCCAGCTGCTAGTTCGCTCTCCCTATCCCCTCCACTAATTCTCTGGCAGTCCCCAGGATACTCAGATGACATTTTGGTCCTTTTAGCGGGCTGCGGCGCATCTAAATTTCCAGAGCCAGCCGCATTCTTTGGCTTTAATTCCTCTTCGTAATTGATTGCAAACTTGTGGTTGGGCAGCCTCTCCCCAGACTTGAGGCACTCCTCCATCCATTCGAAGGACACCACGCTCTGCAACCAAATGTCCAATCCATAAAATGGCAATTTGGCATGACAACACGAAGCCCTCCACAGGTCAATCCCAGCAACGAGATAGCCAAATACACATGGCAGCACACACGAGGCAGCTTGCGCGCAGGAATAGGAGGCTAGGGCTTGTACGCAATGGGAGGGGGGAAGCGAGCAGCGATTACCCCGCTGAAGCGGTGGAGCCAGGCGGCGTCGAACTCCCGGAGTAGCGCCTTGGCGTCCATGGCCAACACGTGGTTGACCCCCGCCAGCTCGCCCTTGGTGGGCTTCTCCACGACTCGGCCCCCCATCTGCACCAGCCTCTGCTTCCACACCTGCATCGACCATCCCCAAATGCCTAAGCACACAATAACGACTCGAGGCGCCAACGAGA